TTCCATGATCGAAGTCCCTAAACCCTAAACCCTAAACCCTATCTACACTTTGCTCCCTTCCTTAGATTCACCAACAGCGGACTCGGCGGCTAAGTAGTAAGGAGCAATGTTCATGTCTAACCCCGCGCAACGTCAGAATCTACAAAGCGAAAGCCTCAATACTGCGGAATTGATGGAGAGTAGTACTGTCCTGCAACATACAACACATCGCTAGCATCAATGCTGCGCAACACCCTTCTGCTGCGGTTCTGAGTAGGAGTTTTTACTGCGCCATCTACGACGCTGCTCGCCTAGGCATCCCATCTGCAACGCTGGCGAGGAGGAGATGGGTAGCAAGGCGCCGATGAACGTGAAGAGCGTCTTCCTTCGGCCGGGTTGCAGGTTTCAGGTCCGGCTCTGTTCCGGAACAAATGATTAGAACTCGCGCGACAGCAACTTTTTTCAGGAGTCATGAACACAGGCCGGCAGAAACGTACTAAAGCTATTCACAAATTGCTCTCTCTTAGCCTGGGGAACACAGCTCTTCGAGTTGCACCGAGTCGGTGATTTTAAAACGAGAGGTGAACACCCAGCACAATTGAAATGGCTGCGAGGAGCGGTACAGATCACAGTGGCCTGAAATACAGTGGCATTAAAAACGCAACAAGAAGTTCTCAACATTCGCTGAGAATTTCAAGAAGTCGCAGTCCGTCGTGCTTCACAAGCCAACAGCTTGTGAAAATGGCACCGGTCAAAGCAAAAGTGGCCGCCATCATTACCCAGTGCTTGTCGTACATCTTCAGCATCTGCTGGGCTCTGTGGGGACCAATCCCCCATTGAGTGCACACGTAAACATCCAGACCCGTCAGAACACACGTCCACCCCAACTTCACGAGGATGCAGACAACAGTGATGTTCATGTGGTCCGAGGTGGTGCATTCAAAGAGATAGTAGTACTGTCGGTTCGGATTCCGCTCGTCCATGAGCCAAAGGAGTGGTGGCAGTGCCACCACGACGGGCCAGAAGCGAGCCACATCAATCTCGCACTGTGTCCACAATGCCCGTTTCGTTTCGGCGCTGACACCCTGCCCCGCCTGAATGTCTGCAATTGTGCACTTGTACAGCACGCGCAACTGCAGCAGAGAGCCGAGTGTGTCGACCAGCACAACCCCAGCCAGGGCCCACCATGAGTTGGTACTTGGAAACAGGATAACCTGAGTTTCTGAAGCCAGTGGCCACGATCTCCGGTAAACCCCTAAAGCCTGCTTTAGCAGAGTGTGCTGAGCCAAGCGCCTCGGAGAAGGTCAGCACGGAGGAGAAAACCAAGGCATTGCCGACCTTACGCAAGGAAAGTGGCCGAAAGCGCCAGCAAAAACCGAGCCGACTTGACACAAGGCCTGGTAGTAGTGCTCGAGGCTGTAGCCGGCCCAAGGGACCAGAATGTTAAGCACCTGCAGGGTTCAGGGTTTAGGGGTTTAGGGTTTAGGGGTCTAGGGCCTAGGGGTCTAGGGGTTTAGGGTTTAGGGAGGAGATATCTCAACTTCTGCAAGCGACTCATGCGACACAGCGACACAGATCACGAAGCTGTTTGCGAGCCTTGTCTGAGGCAAGCCCCACCGCTTCCATCACAACCCACGACACCAGCGCGCCGAAGAACTCTGCAACAGGCGCGTTGAAGTAGGCACAGCTGAACACCACGCCGCACAAGACCAGAACCGGGGCCAGAGTTAAGAAGTTGTAGACAAAGACGAGCACCAGGGTCTTGAAGTT